AAAATAATTTGTCTGAAAATTTGCCGAATAAAAGTGGTCACTACTCCCGAACCCGAGGTCCTACGACCAAACGGACACCATCCACAAAGATCTTTTATCATGCGCTATAACTTCCATATCAAATGGTGACCAGGCGAGCATGGCCCAGCGATGGCCCAGGCCTTTGTATATATTAAATAATAACTTAATAAGTAGCATACAATAAATTTTGAAAATAAATTGTTTACCAAAAAATTATGTACTTTTATAATAATTTTAGAAGAAATAAATTTGTGGATATTGTTACATTTATAATATAATTTTGTTAAATAGATTTGCCAACATTATTTTTTAGTAAACATTTTATTTAACTAGAATTTGCACCGTTAGCTTTAATTTTAATAAATTTAAATTATAATAGTTTATTGTAATTAATATTTTGTGTGATTATTAGTTACATCTTTTAGAATTATGTATTAATTAATAATAATAAAACTTAATTTCAAAATAATTAATTAAATAAACAAATACAATATGTGATTCTGTTGATAACATATTGATACAGTCATTCATATTTTGCAAGTCTAATAAGTTAATTACAGCATTATAAAAAACTAACCATGTTAAGAGTTGCAATTTGTTCGTTATTAATACTGTGTAAGTTAAACAACACTTATATAAAATACTATTTAGTATACAATAATAACTTTATTTACAATATTTGATTAATTTTTAATTATTGTAATGTTGATAGGCTTAAAAGTATGTGGTAACGCATCAGTAAGTGATATAGATTTTTGTGTATACAATAATTTAAACATCAACAATAAAATAATATTCTTATATAATTTGTAGCAGTTACAAGGAATTAGCCAAGGACCAAACAACTTTAACCAAGAATGCGAGTTCTATATAAATAAAATGATTAACAGCCAACTCCTTACTTATTATACTTATGAACAACTGGTAAAACTACATTTTTAACACAAACTGCCATTACTTATAAATATGAAACTATATCAATTAATTCTTAATTTCATTTATATATAACTTATCACACTCGTCAAATAGGCATGGTACTTCAACCGCGACAGCGTAGCGTTGCCAGGTTTTCACGTGTTTTTCAAGGAAAGGGCCGACGATCAGATGAACATTACCAGAAAGTTTATGGAATACCAGAACAAACGTGGTGGTCGTGTTATATTGAAGGACATTCCCGCACCTCCAAAACAGGAGGGTTGGACACCCCTGGAGGGCATGGAGGCGACTATTCAGGTGGAAACGAGTCAGACTAAAGCCATATCGGATTTGATTGCACTGGCCGATCGTGTAAACGATCACGATTTTAGTAGATTTTTGTCCAATTTTTTGAATGAACAGGTTATCGATCTTAAGGAATTGGCTGATCACGTGACACAATTGAAGCGAGTGGGCCCAGGAATCGGCGAATATCTATATGATAGAAATTCATTGAACGAATCATACTTTGATAAAATTGATCGCAATTCTTATTAATTAAATTTTTTTGTTATATGGTATAAATAATCAATAATGAAAAATTGATGTAAGAATTGTAATGTTGCAATTTTAATTCATTTAATTGTTTTAATTCAATTGTTATTTTTGTATGATTTTTGGGTTAAATATTTGATGTCTAAATAAATGTAATTAATACATATAAATATATCATACAATGTACTTAAATTGATTAACTTTAAATTAAGATTTAAATTCTTTATTTTTATAATTTTAATTAACTTATTAACTATTAAATTAAGTTAAAACTAATAAAAACTAACTACTGACTTTATATTCATGACAAATTAAACTTTTAAAATAAATATAATTATATAAATAAAGCAAAGTGTTCTAATAAACTATATTTTTATGCTTATATATAATTAAATCTTTTTTAATTTTAATTAAATGAACACGTGTGTTAAATTTTCAATAATTAATTTTAAATAATTAATAACAACGCCGATTAA